GGGTTGGACTAGACGACCCACAGAGGTCCCTTCCAACCCCTACTATTCTGTGATTCTGTGATTCTGGCCTCCAAAGTTTGAACAGATCAGACCTCAAAAACTAGGAAATAAGTTTAATGAGGGAAAACCCACCACAACTCAGTTATGAGTTAATACAATCAATACTCTTAAAATGCACACATTTCACATATATAAACAGCAATTTGTTGTTTCAGTTTTCACATTTCTATTAATATGTCGCAATTTAACTGCTCGAAAAGGAGAATTGAAGCTCTTCTTGACGGCTGAAACCAGTATTGTTACGGTAAAGCAACATGGAGGATCTGTCTTGCAAATCACTTACCTAAAGTATGTGGCAATACAGAGAATTACAACAAGCATTGGGTAATATATATAGAATCCATCTGCAATGAAGGACAGCACTCTCATGGATCCCATTATCTGGAAAAAAAACCCACAAGAACAAGCTCTAATCAGATATATTCTACATATATCCACAAAGATTGTGCCATCTCACTGTTTTCAGTCCACAACACACAAACACACAATACCTTACAGTTACTGAAACATAGGTAAGTATTATCATCACAGGTCTGATTCAGACACTTGACCCAGAATAACCAGATATAAAGGCTGCCTCTAACACTTTGAGGTTTTGAAGATGCTAAATCTTGTCTCACCTAATCCAGAATCAGTTCAAATCTGGTCAATCTTTTCATCTGCTGTGAAAGGCATCTCTGGACAACATTAAGAATCTACTTGCTAACAAGAAAAATGTGAGATGTAACTTGCTGTCCTACAGAAATTGATTGTTCAGTAAACCCAAACTCACTGGTGTTTTCAGTGGCAAGTTAGGTTTGCTCCCAATCTATAAAGCTGTCCCACATGCGAAAGCCAGTGGAAGCTAAAGCTACTAGGAAGTAAAGAACAGTCTGAATTCTTCAGCATAATACTTTACTTTCTTAGGATAAAGAGACCAAAACAGAAAAATTGAGCTATTGATGACTCCTAGAAATCATTGCCAAACTCCTCGCTGATAGTATTTCTAACGTGTTCAATGCTAGTGAAAAGATTTGAATATCTGAGCCTTACTGTAAGAAGTACACAAAAATATTTTGCCTGTTCTCCAAACCATATAGAAGGCTCAAAATGACATTTTCTGTACTTACAGATGTATAAGCAGTTGGCTGAGTGTTTTTGTGAGAGATTGTTGCATCCATATGGGTCAAGCCCAGAAAGTTCAAGCATAATGGTGGAGTAAGACGGCAAAATAACCTGCACAAATGCAAGAGGCAATAGTATTTCAATCAATTTCTTGCACTAAAAATATTGAGACATCATAACTGGATATATCACAATAATGACATACAGCTCATTAGAATTTATACTCATATGATTATAAATGAAAGAATATAAATGGAATTGAGCATTTGACAGAAAATCTGCAAAATATACTCCACATACTCACATGCCACTGAAAAGGAGACTGTATGCATCTGTCTGATGATGTGAAGCTAAGTAATAATAGTTAAATACACGGATCCTGAAGACAGTAGAGTAAACACAGATGCTTAGGAAAAAGATGGTAAGAAAACAGGCCATCTGGGGGGGGGAGAAAAAAAGTTGTTTGAATGTAGAACCCTACTAAAGGTTTTAATGTATTCAGCACGCAGTCTGTGCGTGCAACAGGCTGACCACAGTCTAACTTTTCATTTGAGATGGGACAACACCACCAGCTCTGACGAGATTCAGGAGGTTTTTTGACTAACTTAAATTGAGAATGACACTTGTAACTTTCTGCACTTCATATAAGCTATCAAAATTTACCCTAGGAACATTTATTCTACTTCTTCGTTGTTACAGTTTGGCTGTGGCCAGCAACAAAAGCGCCGCGTGGCTGCCCCTTCCCCCGCCGGGGTGCGGAGGAGAATGGAAAGAAAGAGGCAGGAACTGGTGGGTCGGGATAAGGGCAGTTTAACAGAACAGCAAACAGATGGCACATGGTATGGAATACCAGGCTCTGTTTGGCCAGGTGGGGTCAGCCCGCCCGGCTGTGTCCCTTCCTGGAGTCCGGTGAAAATTAACCCTGTCCTGGCCGAACACAGGACATTTGTGTTATGTAAATGAAATTGCTGTAATTACCTTGCTAATTACTATGACTGATTTGACATTTCTTCCCACAAAAAGTCATAAAAAAAAGTTTTTTCAATTCAACCTATTTTGTTATTATACTGGAATTTTGCCGTGCAGTTGCTTTACTGATAAGTTTGTGCACGCACATACTAGCCACACCTGTGACTGGATTTCTGGTCTGCAGCAAACTCCTGTTCAGGTAAGAGAGGTCACACATGTCTGACTGGACTCGAAGTCTGAAGACCTAAGCTCCAAGCTAATGTTTCACAAAGTACTCTGAACATCGTATTCAGCTCAGTTGGGTCACACCTTCACCCCCTACAGTAGAACTGTAAGAAGTAGCAAACGGCAGACTCCCTCAATAAAGTTTGCTATTACATATTTTAGAGATCTTCTGCAAGTTGACAGATTATTTAGAGACTTTTTAAATAAATCTAATCTACTATTGTTGTAAGAACAATCTATCTGAAAAGATTTTTGTTGAGTGATTATCTCAAACTTACCTCTATGTATATATAATTATATGTCTTTTCTGCCAGCTGTATGAAAACTGCAAATAGCGATAAAACTGGGTTTGTGCTGAAAAATGTGCACTCTGACCACACAACAATTACAGAGAACATGGCCAGAACAACTGCAAGCACCCTGTAAAACCATGGTCGTAGAAGACATTCCCAGTACCACTCTGGAAAAAACAAACACACAACACATCCAGAATGAGTTAATTACAATTACACAACAAGAAATGGAATTCCCTCACAAAAACTGTTACAAACTTCTTGCACTCATGCCATTAAAATCAAGTCTGGAATCTGTGGTGACACACACTTAATTTCAGAGCTTTTCCAATGCCTAGAGCTCTGGTTCAGCCCTAAGGAATCATATGCACAACTGGGGAAAACAGGGTAGGATTTGGGATGTATTTTTTGCAGATGGACTGGGGGGTGTGAGATATGTAGAACAAAACTCTTCACTTTTGGCTCAGATACTACGGGTGATCCACTTTTTGTTTGTTATCTGTTACTCTCATAAACAAAGCATGGGCTGTAAAACTATATTGTCCTATCCTGGAAATAACTCATGGCTAGTGCACAACAAATTAGAAGTTAAAACATGATTAAGTGAAGACACTTTCTGAAAAGGTGCACAAGCAGCTGCATCTCCTAATGTTTGGTACATGACAGACGAAGAGTCTTTTCGTCTTTGCTTTACTGGAAGAGTGGTGCCACCTCAACAATATCCCACAAATGCAGAAGGTAGTCATGATACCATAATTTAAAGTTGCTATTTTTCTTTCTTCTTCTAAGGCTTCAAAGTTTAAAATTGATATTACAACATGTAATTGGTATTATATTTGTAAAAACATTTTAAGCTTATGGCAATAGCATAAATCCATACCTGATGGCTATTCCACTACGTAAATGCATTGAGATGCATATTTGTTTCCCTCCACTGTAACTGAACATTTTACATAAAACAACCAGTTCTTCTTACCAAACGGTACCAGTTACTACTTTACCTGTCTAAAATCTGCATGACAGCACTTACCAACAGTTGGTGTGTAGAAATACTGAATAATTTTATTCTCTGGCTCCTGGGAATGAAAGGTATGAACAAACTGTCGAGTTGCACTGGTTTCATTTTTTGCCACATCTTCTAGGTAAAATGCTTGTTCTAGAAGAATTTGCCACTGGACCTGTGTACGACGATGCCTCTGTACTGAATAGATAACCTACAACAAATTCCAAGATATTATGGTTACAACTTACTTGTTTCAAGAAACAAGAAAAAAGCCTAGCAAAATCCCTTAAAAATGTCTACATTAAATAGCTGCAAAGATTAATTCTGTATACTCACAAAATCAGGCAGTTGATTCTCTAAATATATATATCATAAGAGGGAGCACTGGAACAGGCTGCCCAGGGAGGTTGTGGAGTCTCCTTCTCTGGAGATATTCAAGACCCGGCTGGACAAGGTCCTGTGCAGCCTGCTGTAGGTGACCCTGCTTCGGCAGGGAGAGTGGACTAGATGATCCACAGAGGTCCCTTCGAACCCCTGCCATTCTGTGATTCTGTGACCACATACACAACTCTTGAGTTTTGCAGTTCTTCCACCACAGTCTATCTGTAGCAATAACAGACTACTTTCTGCAATGCTCCACTTCATTAAAGATTTTACTACAACTTACTTTTTAGAATGCACTGTCAATCAATCACATACACTTAAAACACTGTCAAGAAGACACAACAAGAACACTTTTCACACATCCAGAAATCTGATCTGGACATCACTTGGGATAGCAAACGTCTATGTTTTCTTTCAATGATAAAAGTTTCCGTTAAGTAGCAATTCAGGTAAAGTGCATTAAAAACTCTTTGTTTGCCTAGCATTTATTCTCATTACATTAGCGTAAGTGAGGCATTCTCCCATTTATTAATATACCTGCTTATGAAGTTTGACCAAACTTTTTTCACTGGGATAATTGTTCTGTCTTTCATCAAAATCTTCATAGTCATCCATGTTCCTACCCATTCTTTCCTGGTACTCAGTAGGACACTGTAAGGCAAAGGGAAAATTAACTGGAAGACGAAGCAGTAATAACTGCTATTTGTTAATTATTTGCAAATGTTTGGGGCATTTCATGCAACCGAAAAGCTCAGTCTAAGCGTAGACTTTTCTGTTTCTAAAACACTACTTATGTTAACACAGAGTGCATAATTACATACATCATAAGAAAGTATTCCACAAAGAATTTCAACTCAAAGTCTGGTCAGAAACTCACAAGATTATAATTAGATATTTTATGTCAAGGGGAAAAGAAAATAATGTACAAGTATTCATTTGGTGCAGGAAGCAGCCCCTCCCAATGGAACAATTATGGCTGAAGATGAGCAATTTATCACCTTTTTCAGTATCGTGTCAACACATCTTCTCAAAGGGTGGTTATACTTGATACTCTCACTTACTTTACGGACTTCCTGTTGAGGAAAAAAAATACAGACCTGTTTCATTATGTTAAATAGATTAAAAAAATTTACAGGGTCAGATAAGAGTTCCAGCCCTCCCAATGCAAAAGATAACCATCAGAGCTTAAAAATCCAGAACTTCCAAAAAGCCACAGCTGTACTAGACATATAATAAAAGACAACTGAAGGACTATTTATAATGAACTTATACATATTTTTTTTAACAAAAACATGACACCAGTGTGCTAATATTCTCTGTGAATGTATGGAGGATTGGGTTTTATGCATGAATGCTGAAATGGAGAATCTTATTTTAGTTGTAGGTAAAGAGTTGTTTCTATCTTCGCTGGTTTAGTTTCACTTTTAATACTTTAAGCAGCTTGACAAATATCATTTTACTCTACTTCATTTTGTATCTTCCTCACATTTATGTCCACATAGCTCGCTTCTGAGATCATTTGGCGTTTATTAGTAATAAAAATCATAGAATCATAGAATGGTTTGGGTTGGAAGGAACCTTAAAGATCATCTCATTCCAACCCCCCTGCCATGGGCACGGACACCTTCCACTAGACCAGGTTGCTCAAAACCCCATCACACTTTTAAAGCAAATTATGATAATACGCAGTACTGACATCGCATTTTTCATCCCTGAAACAATCCATGAATAAGAAAAGTAGGGATTATTAGTCCTGTGTCACTGATGAGAAAGCTGAAATAAAAAGGGAATTAGAGCCTGAATTTTAAGCTGGACATTCTGATTTCAGTCTTGTAAGTGCTGAGAACATTAAGCTTCTCATCTTAATGCCAAAATTTTCTTCTCCTCGTAGTAGTAACATATATGCTGTGGGTTTACATTAGCTTCTATTTAATTCTTGTTCGCTTAATCTCATTTCAATTAAGAGTTGAGATGAAAGAAAAACAGCATTAATTAAAACTGTTAGCTCTTACCTCAATAATTTATTTTTCAATCAACAAACATTAAAGCAGTGATTTAGGAGTGATTATACTGATTTTAAAAGTTCAGAAGCTCAACGGGACAACATATTTAACAATTTAAAAGTTGCGTTTTTCGAATCAATACACTGTTAACAAAGTTTGGCAAAGTGATTTCTTAAGTAAGCTTTGGCAAACTAGAGTTGCTTGTCATCACCTAGACGAGGACTAAAGAGAGCAAGCATGCTCCCCATGACAGCTGGACTTCTAATCCTCCTTAGAAGAATGGAGGAGATGAGGTTGCTTCTTTTTCATGTACTTTGATGCATCTACACAAAAAATTTTGTTTAGCATCTTCCTAGGAGTCTTGCTTGTAACCTTGGTGTTTAGTGCACATTGCCAGGTCATGTCGAGCTTCTCATCAGCCAGCACCCCCAGGTCCTTCTCAGCAGGGCCGTTCTCGAGCAACTCTCCACCGAGCCTGTACTTGTGTTTGGGGTTGCCCCAACCCATGTGCAGGACCTTGCACTTGGCCTTGTTGAACCTCATCAGGTTCGCACAGGCCCACCTCCCAAGCCTGTCAATGTGCCTCTGGACGGCCTCCCTTCCCTCCAGCATGTTGACTGTACGACACAGCATGGTGTTGTTGGCAAACCCGCTGAGGGTGAACTCGATCCCACTGTCCATGTTGCTGACAAACACGTTAAACAGCACTGGTCCCAATACTGACCCCTGAGGAACGCCACTCATCATTGGTCTCCACTATGACACTGAGCCGTTGACCGCAACTCTTTGACTGAGACCATCCAACAAATTCTTTATCCACTGAGTGTCCACCCATCAAATCCATGTCTCTCCCAATTTAGAGAAAAGGATGTCATGCGCGACACTGTCAAATGCTTTGCTCAAGTCTGTGTAGATGGCATCAGTTCCTCCTCTCTTATTCACCAATGCAGTAACCTCATCATAGCAGGCGATCAAATCTGTCAGGCATGATTTGCCCTTAGTGAAGCCATGTTGGCTTTCACCAATCACCTCCTTATTTTCCATGTGCCTTAGCACAGTTTCTATTTCTGGATGCTACCTAACAGCTAGGTAAGTTGTGTCAGAACTGGTTCTAACAGTTTATCAGGTTTAGCGAGAACTAGAGTTTATTCTTCATCCTACTGGCAATCCAGAGATAACCTTCTGATGCTTTTTTTGTTGTTGTCTCTACAACTCTCTACAACTACCTGAAGGGAAGTTGTAGCCAGGCGGGTGTTGGTCTCTTCTCCCAAGTAACTAGCAATGGGATGAGAGGCAATGGCCTCAAGTTGTGTTTAGATTAGATATTAGGAAAAATGTCTTTACTGAAAGAGTGGGCAGGCATTGGAACAGGCTGCCAAGGGTAAGTGGTAGAGCCCACATCCCTGGAGGTCCTGGAGGTGTTGAAAAAACGTGTAGATGTGGCACTTCAGAACATGGTTAGTAGGAGTGGTGGTATTGGGTGACGGTTGGACTTGATGATTTTAGAGGTCTTTTACAACCTATGCTTCTATGAAAGCATTTTAAAAAAAAGATGTAAGTCTGGAGGACAGAAATAATTTTAAAGGCTCCGAAATCTTGTTAAACAGGATGATTAGACAGACAGAAGAACTCTATTAGTTTAGTGTGACAAGGGAGGCTAAATGGTTATAGACAGTCCTTCGACATAAAAACAGCTGTTCTAACAGCTGACTGTCAGTAATTCTGTCTTCCTTGGAGACTCCTGAGGGGAATGATCACAAGAAATCCAATTAGTTTGTGGTAAAGAATTTTTCATTATGTAGTGGGAAACTGAAAAACAAACAAACAAAATTCCACAAGAGTGTCTGTAAGGGTCAATCCTAGCATACCCAGCCCTATCAAGTAGGGCACTCGACTGGAAAAAGAAAAGGGAGGCAGGAAAAAAAAAAAGTATCCTCTAGTAGTACAGTTTCTTATGTTTTCAGAATCTCTGATAAAAGAAGACGACAAAAGCCTGAACTAAAGTGTGTGAGAGCTAAAATTTTGTGATTTGACACAGCAGCAATTCATAATATTTACAATCAAGTTATCAGAGTCAGCACTAGCATTCTTAAGAACTTTAAAATGTTTTCACGCACTTCAGCGCTCCTATGAAGGTTGCAAATCAAATATTGGCCAAGATTTCTAAAGTAAAGTGCAATTGTTTCTAGACTGAAAGAACAAAAACAAGCAGGGGGGGAAAGAAAGTGAAGTGCCAAACCTTGAAACGAAGTTTCATCATGCATTAACCACATTATATATTTTAACCTTGGGTACGATATAACCTCAGAATCTGCCAGTCACCCTACCTGACTTAAAGGACAATCTAGTACATGACAGCAGTCTAGTACAAGACCCTCTTTTCAGGGAAGTGTGCTGCCCCCCTGGGGCCCAAATTAGGGACGTCACCACAAGACTGAAGAGCTTAGTACAACCTTCAGGCTACTATCCATTTCTGCTCTTTCACATGAGTACTAATGACGTTGCAACCGAAAGTCTGAGGTCAATTAAATTTCAGAGCACTGGGAAGAACGCTAAACTACTCAGGAGCACAGGTAGTGTTTTCCTCAGTCCCCCCAGTTATGGGGAGAGACTCTGGAAGAAACAGGTAACCCCAGGATATCAATACCTGGCTTCAAAACTGGTGCCTCTGCCAAAACTTTAGGATTTTAAACCACGGAAGAGCCTTCGAGGCACAAGATATGCTGTGTTTAAGGGAACGGAACATTTTCCATTGGAAGGATAGTCTAGTCCAACTGCCTGACCACTTCAGGGCTGACCAGAAGTTCAACCATGTTGTTAAGGGCATTGTCCAAATGCCTCTTGAATACTGACAGCTTTGGGGCATTGACAGCCTCTCTGGGAAGCCTGTTCCAGTGTTTGACCATGCTCTCGGGAAAGAAATGCTTCCCAATGTCCAGTCTGAACCTTCTCTGGCACAGCTTTAAACCACTCCCACGTGTCCTATCACTGGATACCAGGGAGAAGAGATCAGCACCTCCCCTTCCAGGCATTTGGACAATGCTTTTAGTAACACCTTTAACTTTTGGTCTGCCCTGAAGTGGTCAGGCAGTTGGACTAGATGATTGTTGTAGGCCCTTCCAGCTGAAATATTCTGTTCTATTCTATGTGCTACCCTGGTAAACAAAGTTTTTGTTGCTCATTTTCTAGTAAGTTTCGTATTTATGTCCCACATAAATGTTTTTAGCAATTTTTTCAAAATGCTATTACCGAAGAATGAAGAGTCCACCACTATTTTACACTGATGTACACCACAGAATAAGTTACCACCTTACCCTACAAGTCTTCAGAAGTATTATTTCCTAGCTGTAGTGCCAGAGTAGAAAAACAGGGAACAGCTATTCAAAGGGTTGCATTTTCATTCTATTCTTGAACTACATTAGAGCCTGTTTCTCGCTCACAAATAACAATCAATACAGTCTCAAAAGAAACTCTTTGAAAAAGCCAATGATTTTCAAAAGGCACACAACGTGGTCCCGCAAATCTAACTTGGAAACTCTTCTCAAGATTCCAGAAATATACTGGGAGTAGAGCACAGGCACACAGCATGGTCCCACAGATCCAACTTGGAAACTCTTCTCAAGATACCAGAAATCTACTGTGAGCAGAGCATAAAAGCAGACATACACAATTTGCACAAACACCAGGGAAACATCTGTACACTGTATTTTCATGTTCACTCTGGAATGTTATTCATTAGTGACCAATTTACTCCAAAGAGTCAATAAAACCAACAAATAAGGCTATCAAGTTGCCATGGTTATCACATTGCCAATATCTTCACATCAGGGACTGTTACTCTTTTTATTTTTTACACAGGATTGAGTGTCATCAAGTGGCACACTATGATGATTTTCTTAATTTACTGATATTTCACCTTAAGTTCACGCTACTTATGTTTTCTTGCCACAAGTGCCCAACACCAGGAAATTCAGAAATGATTAACAGCAGCCTTCACTTCTTCCATAGTGAAAGCTAGTTACTTACCTCCATAATATCCTCTAAATTCTCCTCTGCATCTACTTTTTCAGTCATCAGTTTGGCAGCTTTGAAATAGGTCTTCATGAGTAGATAACCCCTCTTTGCGCCATTCCAGTGAGAACGGGGAATCTCCACCAAACCATAACCCAAAAGCAACACAAGAAGAAAGAGACCCCATGTGTTCGCTGCAGCTATCCCAATAGTCTGAAGTTGGTTCCTAAGGAAAAATCCAATAGCAAATACAAAAAATAAAAAAAACCAACATCCCCCTACTCCACCTATGAGAAAACACCCTTGAAGTATCTATGCACCAATACGGCTTTCAAGTTTACAGGAACAAGCTCAGTAATTCTTGCCTAGGACCAGTCAGCTGCTCGGCCACATTTAAAGCTGTCACAATTCTTCTGTCATCTCCCACATTTCTGCCCCCTCTGGAGGGAAGACAAAAACGTTTGTTCTCAAAGGAGCAAGTTCCTTTAGGAAACAATACAAACTTAAACTTACTGAAAGTGAGGTGAAAATGCCATAATGGAAGTCACTGTAAGCAAGAGCCTCAGAACCCAGGATTTGTATTCAGAAATGGAAGCTGAAAGCAGCTAGGCATTACATGACAGTACTTACTACTGTATTTAGTATGCAAGACTATTAGCAATGTTATAAATACCATTTATTTCAACTTGCCTTATCACCTTTAAATAGAATCTACAGTAGACAGAAGCACTACAGTGGAAATACTGGTGCAGACTTTTTGTGAAAGATGTTATTCTGAAAACACTGTGAAAGTTTCTGCAACAGCTTTGCAACTGCATTTGTAGGGAGAAAAAAAAAAAAACCCATTGAAATGTAAAAGGATTCCTTTGCCTTACATGTGAAAATCAGAAAACCGAAAGACAAATTTCTATAAATTGTAAAAAAAAACTCCTTTTCATAAAAAAGTTAACAAAACTTTCCAATTGTCTAGCAAAAATCAGATTGACTAATTTTTTTTTTTTAAAGATGCATTTCATCTACAGAAGAGATTACCCATGACAATAAGAACTCATGCAAGTATTGCAATGCTTACAACATTATTCTTACCATTGTAAATTGAAGTTTGGGTTTACAGCCACATATATTAAAAATGCTCCAAAAATCAGCAAGTAAGTGCCATAATAGATTGCATTCTCAATCAATGCAGTTTTAATCTTCCCAGTAATGGAGAACCCTCCTGATCTAGCATATGACTGCATGAAAGGTAGCAGAATCCTAAGAGGAAAGCAAGCAAAAGTACGTATAAATTGTTCAGTTTCAACCACAAAAGTGAACCAAGAGTAAATGGTTGCCACCTGACAAGGAGCAAAAAAAAAAAAAAAAGTATGCCAAATTTAGTACAGCAATTATTAGAGAAATATCACTGTAAGCAAATAATGTATGATTAGACAGCACTGTGGAATAGCGATATATATTCTCAAAGAGTATGCTACAACTGTTAAGATACTTCCCTTAAAATTCTACCCACATTAAATCTTTGTCATATTCTTTTGTCTTACTTACCATGTTAAAAACTGTGATGTCCAGTATACAACACGCCAGAAAATTGGCATAATTCCACTAGGAATATAACTCCATGGTTTGAAACATTTTTGCTTGCTGTAACAATGTAAAGAAGCTTACTGTTAGTCATAAGACCAAGAGTATAAAAAACATTTGTATAAATTCCCCTATCTAGAAAGGTCTTTGAAAATAGCATAGAAGTAATACACTACTGTTCAAGTACATAGTCAACCATCAACGACCTCAGAAGAAAATATACTGAATCACCACTGAAAAATATTTCTCATTCTCCTCACCGCAAATGACGTATCTGGACCAGACAGCTTTCTCAGAGAAGAAAAAAAACTAGCTCAAAGACTAAACAGAAAAAAAAGCAACTAAGCAACTAAAGTTACAATTTTTCTTCTTGGGCAGCAAGTACCTTTCTTCATGCAAAGAAAAAGCAATTCTGTGGACAGACCATTCAACTTTAGCTAGTACAGCAGGTTTTTAAAAAATATCTAGCGACTCCATCATCTAGCTCTACTACCTAAAGCACCTAGTGGTAAAAAAACTCATAGAATCATAGAACGCTTTGGACTGGAAGGGACCTTTACAGGTCATCTAGTCCAGCCCCCATGCTAAGTCAGGCTGCTCAGAGCCCCATCCAACCTGACCTTGAACACTTCCATGGATGGGGCATCTACAACCTCTACAAGCAATCTGTTCCACTGTTCCATCACCCTCATTGTAAAAGATTTCTTCCCTATGTCCAACCTAAATCTACCCTCTTTTAGTTTAAAACTATTACCCCTTGTCCTATCATAACAGGCCCTGCTGAAAACTTTGTCCCCATCTTTCTTGTAAGCCCCCTTTAAGTACTGAAAGGCCACAACAAGGCCCATCTCCATCTGGACATTGAGATATTGACCACTACCCTCTGGAGGCGGCCATTCAACCAATTCCCCATCCACCAAACAGTCCACCCATCAAATCTTTCTCTCTTCCATTTAGAGAGAGGGATGTTCTGGGGGACTGTGTCAAAGGCCTTACACAAGTCCCGATAGACATCCATAGCTCTTCCCTTGTCCACTGATGAAGTCACTCCACCAGAGAAGGTCACCAGGTTGGTCAGGCAGGACCTTCCCTTGGTGATGCCATGCTGGCTGTCTTGAATCACGTCCTGTTCTCCATGTGCCTTAGCAGAGCTTTTAGGAGGATTTGTTCCATGATCTTCCCAGGGTAGTTCCCAGGGTCCTACTTGCTACTCTTTGTAAAAATGGGTGCAATGTTTCCCTTTTTCCAGTCTCCAGGGTCTTCACCTGACTGCCAGGACTTTTCAAATATCGTGGAGTGTGGTTTGGCAACTACATCAGCCAATTCCCTCAGGACTTGGAAATGCACCTCGTCAGGTCCCATAGTCTCATGTACGTTCAGGTTCCTCAGGTGGTAACAAACCTGATCTTCTCTACCAGTGGGAGGGACTTAGCTCCTCCAGTCCCTGCCTTGAGGTCCATCCATTCAAGAGGTGTGGGAAAAGAGGCTGCGAGTGAAAACTGAGGCAAAAAAAGTTGTTGAGTACCTCAGCTCCTCCTCATCCGTCGTTACCAGTTTGCCAATCTTGCTCATCAGGATCGGTATGCTTTCTTTGACCTTCCGCTGACATACCTGTAGTAGCTCTTCTTCTCATTCTTTGCATTCTTTGTCAAGTTCAGCTCCATCTGCACCTTGGCCCTCCTGACCCCACCCCTACACAACCGGGCAGGGTCCCTACACTGTTCCCAGGACACCTGTCCCTACTTCCACTGCCTGTGCATTTCCTTCCTGCCCTTTAGTTTGACCAGCAGGTCTGGAGTAATCTATGTCAGTCTCTTGCCTTCCTTTCCTGGTTTCTTACACACAGGGATTAAGAGCTAGTGCTTTGCGGAATGCATCCTTACAGGTCTGCCAGCTCTGTTCTGCTCCCTTGTCCCCAAGGGCAGTTTCCCAGGGGGTCCTACTGATTAACTCCTTGAACATTCGGAATTTTGCTTCCCTAAAATTCAGGGTCCTGACTAAAGTGTATTAGTTGTTTCTTCTGTCACCCAGCTGGATTTAGTCAGGCTTATATAAACTGTGATTTGTTAAGCCAATACTTCTCTGACGGGTAGTGTTTGCTTCAGAAGACCAGAAAAGCCATGAGTGCCTTTTTTGTAAAAACAAGAGCAAAAGACAAAGTGCCCATCCACACTAAGACACTTCATTTGTTTCCCCATACCTGTCTGAGTAATGAAGCAATGATGAGTCAAGGGGCAATCAGTCAATTTAATAGGAGTATTTATTGAGAAATAATTGGTGTTTTCCAGAGTCAAACTAGTTAAGCCTGAACTGTGAGTTTTTATGTACACAGCCTAAATATTTTGGAAACGATCAAACTACCATAGAATGACTGGTAGCATGACTAAAGGTTTCAAACAAAGTTTTAAGATCTGAGTTGCATCAACACAGCATCTGCTCAGTGACTACTTAAGCTGATATTTCTATTTGATATACTGGTTATATACTATAGTCTAACATCCATCAGCATGTTCTGAAACTGTAGTTAAACTGAAAGCCTACTGCATAGTTTTAAAACTGTGTATTTACCTAGCTATGTTTAGCATACACTGGGTGGTCTTAAATAAAGCGTACAATGTCGTGTCATTAAATCTGGCATTTTACTGCTCTTCCACAGATATAGAACATCCAGATAGCCTCTGCTTTGGGGCAACTGAACTGGCAATATTTTGGATGGACACATCAACTGACATCTTAAAATGCTTTAATCGTCTTAAAGATAACAACACTGCACACATCTACACAATGCAGAAATAGCCAATGGAGGCTACAGAATGAGCAGTCACAGAAAGAGCCCACACTCGCCTACATTCACAATTTTTTAGGGATTACTTCCTGCCAGAAGACAGTGAGCAAGGTATCACTACTTTGGTACAATCAGCGACTTTCAGATAACTCCGATTACTATATATATGCAATTATAATAAGCAATTAGATATGCTGCTTAGATACAAGACAAGGCTACTAACTTAATTCATAAGGTATAAAATTAGATTTTCGGGTCTAAAGTCTTTAAGATTATGAAGGAAAGACAGGCATTCACCAAGGCATCTCCTCACAGATAACCAAGATTGCTTGAAAACCTTAGCTCTATCGCTTTAACAACAAAATAGAACAAATCTAGCATGAAATTTAAAAAAAAATATATATATATAGGTGATCAATATATATAGGTGATAATGTACAACTACTACCAACAGATCAAGATGCATTTATCTCCACCTCTTACCTCACTTTCTTGTATGCTTACAATCTTCAAATATCGTATCACACAAATAACACTTGTTTATTAGTCTTACAAACATGGTACACTCCTACCATTTAAGAAAAGAAAATTATAAAATAATTCTTTAAAAACAGTCAAATGAAAGATACAGCTCATACCTTGGAGCAAGAGTAACGTAAGAGCCATTACTTTCTGCAGGGCTGGAGTTAACAGCAAGTTTGCACCGATTATAAATAGTCTAAAAGACAATTAATTTTGTAACAGTGACCAAAAGAGGTATAACATTCATTTTTAAATAGTAAGTCCCATTTTTAATGACATTTCCTGTACTCCACATTTACATTTGGGAGCAATTTCACTAATAAACCCTCAAAACAACCTGCAATCTGCAGGACAAGTAAAAAACTGAAAGCATTTTTACGTTGCCTAAACAGATTTTTAAAAATATTATAAACAAGCAATGAAATTTTAAAACGTTTGAAACAGATTTGTTGCCTGATGAGATCAACAAAAAATAAAATTAACACAGACTCTGTCATGCAAAAATGTAAGAAGTGCTTAGTTTAATAAGATACTATATAGAAAATTTATTTGCTGTTTAAGTTACTGTTTTCTGAAATTATGATTTGAAAAAATACCACATACATTTTATGCAACTAAGCAGAAAATCTCGCAAGTTTCTTACCGTACTGACATCCAGAGGCAGTATAAATACAATAAGAAAGCAGAGATACCAAGCCAATAACGTTGCTATGATCACCAGCCTATGCTGTTTCTTGAAGTCTCCATACCGATGAAGTAGAAATAAGGCCAGAAAAAAGACAAATACTATCTCAAGGCCCAGCGCTGCACCACTCATTATTGAATGTTCGCTCCAGCCACACAGAGCAGCTCACTTAGGAAAGAAGATCAGAACTGCTAGAAAAAAAGATATTTAGTTACATTAAAATCTCTGGAAGACATTTACACGGAAAAGAGCTGTTTAACAGGCATTTTTAAACATATTCATAGACTTGTCCCATTTCATACAACAAGAACTCTGATCAGATGAAGGACAAGATTTTCTGCAAGGTGTTCTAAAGCCCTCTGCAGAAAACAAAATGTAGTCACATTGCAATTTTGTCATTTCTAGCAAAGTACTAGGACAACCCCTCTTCATCGTCTTGATATACCATAGATCCAGAAGTCAAATCTCTGTCCTTGAACAAGACTACAAACCTAACTCACAAGTTCAGTACAAAATTCAAAAGAAAGATCTATTCTGCTCTTTTTTTTCTTTCAGAAGAAATCAACTGATTTGGAGAAAGGGTTGAATGTTTAAATTAAATGTTTCTGGAAAGCTAATGAGCAACATTTTTAACGGACCGTTCCTCAACTATGCATTTAAATTCTGTACTCAGAGTTAACAGAGCATAAAAATACAGCAAAGTATATGTTAGTCTACTTGTGATGTACATCTGTTACGTTTGAAATTTCATGTAATAAGAGGCAACCTGCTTGCTAATTCACATTCCTACTCCTCTTCTGTTCTTCTTCAGAGAAACAAAGGTCTCAATTCATTTGTTATTAGTCTTGCCAAGACATATTTTTGCTTTGATCATCTTTCTGAGTTTAGTTAACTCTGTGTTACAGTCAGGACTGCTAGAAGCGACTAGAAAGTTCATACATCTTCATACAGGTGTGCTATTATGCAAAGGGCCAGCGAGTCGCACAAATCCATAAGAGAAAATTTCACTGACTTGTTACATATTCAGTTAAACTGCTTCTGACTTTATTAATAAGCATGAGTTTACCACAGGCACTTCACAAATTAAAAAAAAAAGTTTATTATTCTGGTCAGATTGACTTGCTTCTCCATCAAGATTACTATTTTAGCTGGTAACTGAAATAGTTTTTGCTACGGCTTCCCCACTGTTGTATTTTCAGTGCCTTCACTATTCACTGGAACTACAGAGATTTAAAAGAAATGCTACTACTACAATTTCCCTCAATTTACTTTTAAATCCTTTCAGAATTTGTTGAAGTGAGCCACCTCTTTCACCAATGTCTCAGTATACTGCTTCAGCAGATCTGTTACGGATGAGGGCACCAAAGAGTGAAAACCGTCTTTTTTCCACTAGAAAACTCCAAAGTTTGTGATGCCATTACTTCCTTGAGGTCACACAGGACAATTATTCTGCAGTTTTTCCCTGAACCTTTGTCTCCACCCATTCTGCTACTTTCACATTTAATTTCCAAATAGTAGAGCAGTCTGTTTACTCTTTATCGGCTGTTATACACAGAGCATCCCATATTCTGAAAATACCTCGAGTTACTTTCCTGTTTCTCAAAGATGCACATGCTTACTTTCTCTCTTCTGTTTCATCTAACGTGTTTATCAAACCATTAGCATTTCTGTCAGGTCAAAGCATCCCCTTACTATCTGTCTATACCATATTTTGGCTAGATCATCTGTAAATCATGAATCCAGGATATCTAATCTGTTTCTCAGTCATGTGTTCTATGCAAGTCCTTGTCTATTCTATTGTACTATTCTTGTTTCCTCAGAAAATAGCCTTTTGTACTGATAGTATGATAGCAAATTTCACAAAAAAAACGAATGGAAATTGTACTTATACTATAAAAGCCAATTCCACCAAAAAATGAATGGAAAAGAAACACTATGTATCAACTTCATTATGGCAGTGCTATCTGACACATGCAGCTTTGGATGTCCATTACAGCCACACCTTACGCTACGTAAACAGAAAAAAATTATACAGCATACCCTCCATCAGTCACACCTACACAATTTCTTACTACAGTCACACCTAAAAAGCTGCCATCAAAACAGAAGGTGAAAAGTTTTTGTGCAAGACACTGCACTCAGTTCCTACCAGGGAACTTCCAAAAAAGATTATAAAAATGTAGCCAACATGCTAAAATAGAGAGGGAATTCAGTCCTAACACAACTTCACTCGCTTTCAAAGAGAAAAGCAACTTTGCAGTTATCAAACTATATTTTCTGTTCTTCACCTGCTTCATATTTCAATCTCAAAATACAAAATGAAACCCCTAATTTTTACTAGACTGCAACTGGTGACAAGAGTTGTTTTGAAATAATGTATACACATTTTCAAAATTACAGTTCAAAATTCATTAATAGAAAACACTTAGAACTAGCTCTCCACACAAACACCTTTAACGCAAAAAAAAAATCCACTAGGTGATTGTTTCGGTTTCGGCTGCCGCCGGCAACAAAAAGCCCACGCGGCCGCACCTCCCCCCGCCGGCGGGCGGCGGGGACTGAAACAGAACAGGAAAGAAAGAGGCAGAAACTGGTGGGTCGGGATAAGGGCAGTTTAACAGAACAGCAAAACAGAGGGAACGGGAACAACAACGATACAGATAAGGAGAAAACACGACAGAAACAGACCTGCTCTCTCTCAGACCGCACCGGCGCCGCACGCTCCCGAGCCGCGAGTGAGTTCCCGCCACGCCACCCACCCCACCGGAACCCCGCGTGACGTCACATGGTATGGAATACCGGTCGCTGTTTGGCCAGGTGGGGTCAGCCCCCACCCCCTGGCTGTGCCCCTTCCTGGATTCCGGTGAAAATTAACCCTGTTCTGGCCAAACCCAGCACATTATCCACCCCTTATTCCATACCATCTACGTCATGCCCAGGTCCCCCATTGTCCAGTTGATCACCACCACTTCTCCT